TTTCTTTACAATATTCTTTTTCATCTTCAGAAAGCTCCTTGTTTTTGTTGACTAATGAAAAAAAATATTCTTTTCTAATTTCTTCACTAGAATTAGCCAGTGCATTATTATACATTTCAGCATTAATTTTATATACAAACTTCTCTCTTTCTAATGATAATAGTTTAATATATGACATTATAAATAAATGTTTTTAAAATTCGACTTGGTGTTTTAATGAGAAAATGAGAATTTTTTTTATTTTCCTTTTTGTGGAGAGTTGAATAGCGTGTGACAAACAATTCTTTTGGTGATGATAACATTATTTATTGATTTTTTTTACAATGAGGTAATGAATGTCACTAATAAATAATTACCTATTATTTGGCATTTTTTTAAAAAAATTCTTCGCGTCAAAATTTAATTATTATAATATTGATCAGTTATGCAACTTTATGCACGCGATCACGATCCAAAGAAAGCAAGAAAAAATAACATTTTATTGGTTGTGTGAACTACAATCCAGTGGTATAAAATCAATCGGCGCACAGATTTATCGTTTTTTGCAAATTAGAGTTGAAGAGTTATTATAATTAAAAATTTTGTTTTCTCCGTGACCTTCCAGCCACCCAAATATATTAATATTACATTGAAATTCTATATTTTTTTAAATTAAACATTCAAAAAAGGCATCACACACTTCAGAAATCAAGTTTCGATTCAGAATGCGTTTGCGCTCACTTTTCACAAGACACACTGTAGCAATTGATGAAAATATTTTCGCCACGGAAGGCAATGGATAGAGCACATTCCCGGATAGATTACAAAAAAAAAAATTTTGGTTGCATGTAATGACGAAACTTTAGACTTTAGTCATTGAGGTAATTAATTATTGACTAAAAGAATAGTTTCTCGCCAGGGCCATTTTGACGATTTGGTTAAAGTAAAACTACTTGGCGTAATTAAACCACTTGACGTAACTAAAAACACTTGACGTGACTAAAAACACTTGACGTAATTAAAAGTGCTTGACGTAATTAAAAATGCTTGACGTAAGTAAAAACACTTGGAAAACCACTTGATTAAATTGTGAGAGACTAATTATATTTATTTTACAAATTAAAGCTATTCTTTTATTATTACATTTCATAAAATAAATTGTCTTTACATACATATGAGTTAATGTTAAATTGATGTTTTTTCGAATTTTTGACCTTTGAAGTTAACTACACATAATAATAATATTAATAATGTGGCTTGCACGAAAAAAATGTTACACGCAATTCAAATAATGTAACCGTAATTCTCAAAAAAAAAAAAAAATCATATTTTATAGTTTTACATAATGTCACTTCTTAACTGGTTATCATCGTTATCACCAGAAAGAAAGGAATTTGTTTTTAAAATTTATAATGAAATGCTTGGTTATGCTAATGCTAATTGTGATAGAGAAAGTATAAAAGATTATTTTTTTTCATTAGTCAAAAAAAACAAGGAGCTTTCTGAAAATGAAAAAGAATTTTGTAAGGAAAGGTTTATTTATGACCTTGAATTAGATAATGCAACATATAAACAAGGCAAACCAAAAGAATGTAACAAGTGTAAACTAACAAGATACTCTGATAGATTCTGTGAAGGTTGTATTAATTTACAATTACAGAATCTTTTTTACTACTTGGACATCTGGAAATAAAATAATTGATGATTTTATTCAACAATGTCAAATGAAATCATCTCTGCCAGGCTATATTTTAGAATGGATACCTTTTGAGCAATTTGATTATGTAACAAAGTTGACAGAAGGTGGATTTAGTTCGATTTTTACTGCAGAATGGACAAGAGGTTATATAAATGATTAAAATGAAAATAAAAAGTAATCTAGTTATTCAGCAAGCTGGGGAGTAGTATTAAAAAGTTTAAACAATTCAAGTAATCCAGGAAAAGCCTTTTTTGATGAGGTTGGTAGTTGTTATTTAAACAAAATAAACAATACTGTATTACATAATACTAATTGGTTTTATATTTAATAGGCAATGAATTATTGTAAAATTAGATCGGGGTTGATTGTTAATTCAGTCAGGGATCTTTCCAAATTTGGAATGTGGCTAATACAACAATTGATCAACAATAAATGTCTTCTTTCGGAATGGTATTATTTATTAGAGTATCACAAGACCTTCCTTTATATTATAGTTGGCTTGGTCTAAAGACCTCCTAAATTTTAGGCAAATTTTAAAAGTATAGAAGTCACTTTCTGTCATAATTTTTAAAAAAATAGCTCTATTAGTTGATAGAATATGTCTTTAGTTTTAATGTAATAGAGAGATTTTCTTAAAAAAATTATTT